CACTGATCGGGCCAAGGCTCTGTTGAAGCGAGTCGTGGCGACATGCCGAAAACCGGTACTGCATCGGCTGGGCTCGAGTCCCGTTGGGGTGTTGATGACACCGGTTCAGGCCATCTGCAAGGCCTAGACAAGAGTAGTTTTGGCCGAACCGAGGGGAATTGTTGAGTTTTTTTCATCCCGCCCCCTCTCCCCCGACATGATGTCATCTGCTTTTTCCGCTCGCCTCTCCCGCCTCAACTCGGCCTCGGCGGGGCTCGAACCAGGCAATCGTTCATCCTCGATTGTCCGTCCTAATTGACGAATGACCCAATCACAAGATGGCCTCCGGCCCCTGTTGCTCCCTGCCATGACAACCTCGAGAGGCTGCAGAACTGATAATGGGCACTGGTAGCCCCTCCCAGTCCGCTTTTGTCGTCGAGTAGGTCTCCTCGAAACTGGAAACAGTATGCCCATTAGGCAGGCTGTATCTAATGAAGATGGGCAGGCAGATGCACGAGGCCGAGGACAAGACAGGAGAGAAGAAAAAAAAGTAAAGAAAGTGAAAAAAAGAGAGAAGGAGATGGGCCAGCGTGGACAACTAATGGGCAATCGGGCCGGAATGAAGAGGAAGCTGGTTGTCCGCTGTTGCGTACGTTTGAGCATTAGTTGGTGTTGTTTTTCCATCCTGTGTCGCCATAGCAGTGACTCGATGCCAAACAAGTCCGCATTGGGGTCTGCTGGAAGACGAGGCATTTGTTCTACATTCGATTTTGCCTCGAAAAAACGCCAATTTCAAAACAGAAACGAAGGTAGCCCAGGCTGGTTGTGTGTGATCGTGGCCTCATGATACCATTAAGTGTTCACGAAGCTTGGTCCAACAGTGATTGTATGTAATGTGAATGAAAAATTGGTTTCTAAAAATTTCATATTCCTTTTTGAGCGAAAAATTGTTTGGAAGGAGTTCATAAAATGTATGCCAAGAAAAGTTAAGTTTCGAGGAATCTCTTGTTTCATAATTGTTGAGCTTACTTCCATTTTGAGTGAAAATGATGAGTAAAGAGATTCGAAGGTCGGTTCCATCAGCTGTCGATTGGCTGTACTGGCGGATTCATGCTGACGCTGTTTCCAAGGCAATCTCCTTCGTCCGTCATGTGAAGAACATCATCAGAGCGAGGTATCATCGTCACAACCAAATTCAAGTTGACGAGTCGAAAGAACTCACCGACAAATCCCTAAAAGGTGGCATCTATACTCTACATCTGGCCTCTTTAAGCAAGTATAAAGTGTTTTGGTTAGTTACGGTCAAATGTCAACTCCGATGCATGTGAGTGTGTCTGTCTCTGTATGTGTATGTGCCTGCTGGAAGACAAAGCATTTGTTCTAGATTCGATTTTGTCTCGAAAAAACGCCAATTTCAGAATAGAAATGAAGGTAGCCCAGGCTGGTTGTGTGTCATCGTGGCCTCACGATACCATAAAGTTTTCACAAAACTTAACCCTACAGATGTTGTATGTAGTATGAATAAAAACTGGGTTTTGAAGAATTTCTTATTCCATTTCGAGTGAAAGTCATTCATAAAATGTATGCAAGAAAAGTTGGGTTTCAAAGAATCTCTTGTTTCATAATTGTTGAGCTTATTTCCATTTCAAATAAAAGTGTTGCGTGAAGAGATATGAAGGTTGGTTCCATCCGAAGAGGACGGCGGATTCCTCTCGATCAGCTGTCGATTGGCTTTACTGGAACATTCAGGATGATGCTGTTTCCGAGGCAATCTCCTTCGTCCGTCATATGACGAACATCATCAAAGCATGGTATCATCATCACAACAAAATTCAAGCTAAGGAGTCAAGAAAACTCACCAGCAAAACCCTAAATTGTGGTATATACTCTACATCTGGCCTCTTTGATAAAACATAAAGTGATTTGGTAAGTTAAGGTCAAATTTCAACTTTGATGCATGTTTTCGCTTATGCACGAAACCCAAAGTGA